TAAAGGACCAATTATCTTGTTATGCTTGTTACAAATCAAAAATATAGAATACCAACAGTAACAACTTACTTCCAACAACATATACTGAAACTTTCAAGCAATTATGATATACGGTATCACAGAATATTCATGAGAAGGAAATTCTGTTTTATAGCAACATATTTTAGTTGCCCAGGGTCATAAAACCTGAGCACAGCTGAAAGAAATGATTTTTGGAGTTTCAAACAAAGCGGTCATTCCCTGAATTTGCAGATGAAATTCTATGTAATAGAGAAGTGAATTCTAATTTCCTGCGGGAAAACTTTGGTTTTGGCAACTTTTTTGGACCTCAGTAAGTTTCTAATCATTTAAAACACTTCGCATTCCTTTTTCACACAGAAAGAAAACAAAGTGGCAGACACTCAGAATTTACACAGTGTTCTAAAATAAAGCAAAAAAAGAATAATTGTTTAAATAATGATATGTAAAACTTGTTTTACAAAGTAAAACTTATCTTTAACGAAAGACAGGGAAATCTTTCTATTACAGAAATTTGCAGGCAGTCTATTCTCTTAAGAGCTCAGTAATTATTAAAAAGTTTTTTCAGTACTTCAAGTAAAAATTGTGCTTTCCTTTCATTTCTATCAAGTTATCCTACTTTTTGCCTTTGAATATAACACTAATTATTTAATGTTAAATTACAAACACTGTTTTATCACGTAAGGTCAAAAGGCAATCGTGTTATATAAGTTTACAAGTATGGGATTCAATATGTTATACACAAGATACGTTGCCACATGTTTTCAAACACTATTCAGGCCAAGTCTCCCTTTGTTTCCAGACTAACAGATCCTTAGTTTCTTCATCAATCTTCATGTAAAATAATTTGCAAACACAATCACCCAAATCATCCTTCTCTGAACATTCTTGAGTTTTCCAGTGACACTTTTAAAACACATTTAAGAATTATATTCATTTAAATAAATGAGCTAAAAAACTGATAAGTATTTTAACTGTAGCTTGATCCAAATACAATATGGGGAAATCATTTTTTTCTATCTGCAAGAACTACATTCACCTAATACGACACATGCTCTTTTTCAGCAGCCACCTCACATTGTCACTCAACTAAAAGTTCCAGATCTTTCAATATTTGCTTCTGAAATTGCACCCACAGCTCTGTAGTGTGTTTTCCAAACCTGCCAGACATAAGCATATATTTGTTTTAATACACTAGTGGTTGTTTAAATCCAGTAGTTTAGGCTCGAAATCCTATTAGTGCCAAACAGCTGATTATTGAAAGTAACAGTTAAACTCGTCCCAGGAATGTCCTCCACTGGATTTCTACGTGCCCCCAAAAAACTTGCTGCATAGAAGGACACTGTGATCTCAAGTGGATTTTATCTTTTTAGTTACACATTATTTTCTCAAGCTTACACAGTCCTTTTGTAACCCCCATTGTTTTCCAATTGCTCAGTTTTCTTTATTTTTTCGGCCACCTATTTGACAAGCATGATTTTGATGTATTCCTCCAAGTTATTCATGACAGAGCAAAACAAAGCAATGGAAAACAAACTGTTATGGCTGCCATTGGGATCTCCTTTCAGACTGATACTGATTACTCAATCTATACACTTTATCTATACATGTTCAATCCAAAACAAATTCATTTAATTATACTATCACCCAGTTTATAAATGTCCATCACTTCTAAACGAGTTTTACAATAAATAGACTTACATCAAATGACTGGCTGAAATTTAGCTCTAATATGTGCATCTTCCTGATGTATAAGTCTAATAATCCTATCAAAACTAAATTAATTTAGTTTGACATGAATTAACTTAGAGAATCCATAATGCCTTGCAGGGATATGATCATCCGCTTCTATATGCTCACAGTCATCTCTTCAACAATGTATTTTATTGAAGGTTGAGGTGAAGCTCAATAGTCTATAATTAAAAAGTTTACCCTTTCTAAAAATGCAGTTATTCTGCATTAAGCATTATTCTAACATGCATATGAGCTCATTTAATACTTTTAACAACCCTCTCACATAGGGCCTATTGTCCCCCTCATTTTATAGATTATAGATGAATTAATGAAGATACAAAGGAGTTAATTTAATTTGCCCAGTGTTACACAGCTAGAAAGTGGGAGAATGAAGATCCGAACCCAGGCCTTTGGACAACTGCTCTCCTGTTCTTTGTGATTATTCCCATGGTTATCCACAACACTTCCTGGTCATACCTGCAGATTCTTTCAGTGTCTTGTCATCGAGGCTCATACATCATCATTTCTTATCCCATATAACTTCTCTCATGTAACTTTTCTTATCACATCTCCTTGAAAGAAACTTGCACTAGTTTAAAAGAGACTAATCCAGCGAAATGTTTCAAAAATGAGAAATCATGCCCGATGATAAAGTTACTGTGACTTTGATCTTGAACACTGTCCCAATTTTATGGCAGTTAAAACGTGGAGGCAGACATTAGTTAACTCTCATTAGCTGAATGAAAGAAACATGAGTTTGTCAGATCAGATAAATGCTTTCTTATTTCTAAACTAAGAGAAGTGTCTCACATAGACATTTTTATACAGAAGCACTGGGGGGCGATGGACAATATTTACAAGGAGGGTTAAGTAAAAGCAAACATAGGACACATGGTAAGTTTTGTTATAGAACCTCCCATAAAAATCTAAACATAAGACAAAAATATAAATGAGAACATCAGATGAAACAATTAAAGTAGACAATCTTCCCAAGATCTAATATGATTAAATCAAGATTATATACTCTAACAATTTGGGGTTTATTTATATTTTACTACTAGTAGTATACATAGATCTATAATAACTCTGAAAACTATTTGTAGATGCAAGATTAATACAATATTATGAAAATTAATGTGCTTAGTGTATACTTTTGCCTACATATGAATACTAAACCCCTGCCCTTATGGAAACAGACAACAGGGATACGCAGCATTCCCTGCAGGATAACATGAAAAGCAGCAATCAGTCAAGACCCTAAAGTTTTAAATCTTGGGAATCCTTATAAGATGCTGGTGTTAATAAGAGCAGCTAATGCATAATGCTAGAAAGCATTCAAAATAAGCTAGGCATTTTTCTAAGAACCTGACTTACATTAAGACATTTAATTTCACAGTCACCCAGTTAGGCAGATTTGTTTTCTGTTTGTTTGTTTGTTTTTTGTTTTTCTTTTTGTTTTGTAGATGAGAGAACTGAGACACCAACACATTAATTCACTTTTAATTCACTTATACCAGGTTATTCCCAGGTAAGAAGCAGAACTGGGATTCAAATCCATGCCTCCTTGTCCAAGTGTTTCACCATCACAATATACTGCCTTGTACCAAATGGTAAAAGTTCACTTGGAGAATAATTTAACAGTATTATTAAAATGTAAAAGGCAGGCACTCTCACTTACTGAACCTCATCTACCTTTAGGTATTTTTCTTACAAAAATCCACAGCCTATCTTGCATGTACAATGAAGCATTATATGAGATTATGGCTCCAAAATAATGAGACATAATCTAAGAGGGAGCTGGTTAAATAAATGAGGGTACATACATACCATAAAATAATAGAAAGAATAAGGTAAGGAACAAGAAAATATGTACTGACATGGGAGGAAGTGGTAAGTAAAAATAAACATGTTGAACAACAATACATAGAGAGGATGCATATATTCCAGTGTCTGTGGTGTACATATACATGTTCCCATAAAGTCTCACCCACATCCCCGCCATATAAAAATATTAGCGTTAACAATTGTAACCCTGGAGACTCTACATATTATGTAATTTATATAACTTATGCATGTATTATATAAGTTATATAGTTGTTAACAGCTGATTTAAAAGTCAGCTCAAGGCTAGGCACAGTGGCTCATGTCTTTAATCCCAGCACATTGGGAGGCCAAGGCGGGTGAACTGCTTGAGCTCAGGAGTTCGAGACCAGCCTGGTCAACATGGTGAAACCCTGGTCTCTACAAAAAATACAAAAATTAGCCAGGCATGGTGGCACGTGCTCAAGTCCCAGCTACTTAGGAGGCTAAGGTGGAAGGATCTCTTCAGTCTGAGAGGTGGAGATTGCAGTGAGTCAAGATCATGCCACTGCACTCCAGCCTGGGTGACAGAGCCAGACCCTGTCTCAAAATGAATGAATGAATGAATGAATGAATGAATGAATGAATGAAATAGAGAACGAAGGTCAGCTTAAAAACAAAACAAATACGAATACTCAACCAACAACAGAAACAGTTATGTGCCTTATACTGTAATCATAGTGAAGAATATAAAATACAGGAAGACTGAAATTATTCCAAAGCAAACATTACTCATCATTCAATCTGAGTCAGAAAAATTATTCAATGTTATTCCCACAAACTAGTCTGAAATGACACAGCATTCAGATGTATCTGCCAGAAGAAATTAGTTGTAAAATATATCTTTAGATAATCGTATAAAATGACTTTGTTATATGAAATTATTTGATTCTGTCCACTTAAATGTTGAAGAATGACAATGATGTTTATTTTGTCACAGTTAACAGTAATTATTTTCTCCTGACTACAGATGGACAACAGCACCACCACCTCAATAATCCATTCATTTAACAAATACTCACCAACCACATACATACACCAAAAATGAAATACAATAAAATTTGCCATTACCATCGCTGGAGACACTTATTCTCTGGCTTACTACAGTGGGGGAAGGGAGAGTGGCAAGCATCTAATTTACTTAGAAATAGATTTAAAATGAAAGGAAGGAACTAAACTATATGTCTTCTTTCGTATTCATTCAAAATGCTCATCTACTCTACATAGAAATGACCCCTGCCTACTCTGTTTCCAGTGGTGGTATTATAATTCAGATTCCATGGAATTGTTATCATCTTGGTATGTGTTTGCTGCTATATTTCTAGTAACTAGCATGTGGTAGTTGTGTAATAACTTGCCTAACAAAAAAAAAAGGAGACGAGAAAGAATTGATGTATGTACTCAGTTTATTGTTGTCTGTGCACAATTCCCCACTTCCTTCTTCCGAAGAATGCCCTTTCTCACTTTGGTTTCAATGGAAGCTGTTATATTGCTGACAGTTCACATATTCCTGTCATATTCCTTCAGGAATAAGCAATTCTTGAAGAGCTGCCTATTAAAGATGGGAAGGAGGGATGGCTGGAGGTGGGGACACAAAGAGGGCCAATCATTAATCTTCTCCAGGATGTACAACCCTAAAACTCAAGAAAACACATCTTGATTACTTTTTGGTAATGATACCATGTGAGGAGAGCCTGCAATTTGCTGGAAGCTATGTTCGTAGGCATGTGAGCCAGGCTCAGAAAATAAGCATACTGTGCAGAGACAGGATGGGAGAGTCCTAGCTACTTTCATTCTTACTCTCCAAGTATTACCGAGAACCTCCTACTTTGCCGCAATGGCTTATAACTTATGAGTCTTCCAATAAATTCTCCTTTTCATTAAATTGGTTAGATGACCAAAGGTTCATAACCAATGTGCTCATTATACTAATTATTGAGCCCATAGTTGATTCCTTTCACAGGATATTTTTAAAAGATACAGGATATACAATAAATGCTTTTAAGTCAGATGCTAACTTACCTGCTTCCTTTAGATTAATAAAACCATAGCAATTCCTAAAACCGCATCACTGGCAACCCAAATTCTTAATAAACAAAAATTCTGAGAAGCAGGTTGTAGTTCTTTGTTAAATATGCACTTGATCCATCCAGAAGTAGTATCTAAAAAATTAAACATTTTACAACAGTGGGAGTCCACGGGCAAAGTTATAAATAATTCTAGTGGTAAAAGTTCTTTACCTAGAACTTTGATGAGTAATAGGTGAAGAAATTCCTGATTCCAAGCCTTCAAAAACAGGACTAACATTTTAAAAATATGAAGCAGGTGTCCTAAGAGCTTAGATTTTAGACCACAGGCTTTCTACAGACCAGTAGACTTAAGCAAAATGTGTGTTCCTGTTTCCAATTTGAGTCATGCATAAATATTTACCATAATGGTTTATACCACAAACCGAGTCAAAGAACTCCCACCCTGATTTACTATACTCAATTATGATATAATTAAAATATCTGCATCAAGATTTGTGCTAAATAGGCCAGGCATGGTGGTTCATGCCTGTAATCCCAGCACTTTGGGAGGCCAAGATGGGAAGATCACTTGAAGTCAGGAGTTTGAGAGACTGGCCTGGTCAACATAGTGAGATTCCATACATATATATATATATAAAGATTTATGTTAAATGAATTCAGGGCAAATATTTCTACATGCTTCTTGATGTACTACCTACCTTAATATGAGCCAAGTTTTCCAGCCCTCCCCAGTTTACCCCTCATTTCTCGTCTTCTTAAACTATGTGCTAGAGGAATTAAGGTATATTTATAAGCAAGCAGGACTGGTTTCAATCAGCCAGCATTTGTTGGTATGAAATAGGAGTTGGATCTCTTTGAGAAGTCAATGGAGTATTAAAACTTGCCTTTGCCAACAAAAGATTCTGCATGAAATCAGATAGTCCCTGTTGCTTCCCAGCCTTCCTTAGTCCTGATTTTACAAGCTGAGTTCTGCTTACAACCAGGCTGGGAGCTCATTATACTGTAATATCACGTTTATTTTGATGACAGAAGGAAGAAAAATTATTAACTCTGATGTGATCAAAACAATCATCCCTTTGAAAAAAAGAAATACAAAGTAAGAGTTACCTATTAGCCAACTCTAAATCAGGACTCACATCAAGTCTTGCTTAGATTTTTTCCCAGAGGTTGCCATTCAGCATTATTAAACTTTGCCTAAAGATAAATTAGGCCAGATGTTGTTCTCTTATATTCGCTCAGCTACAGACAGTAGGGTTTAGGCCCACAAGGATTCCGTCTCTTCAATGTAAGTTATCTATAGAAAAAGTATTGAGAGTGCTGTTAATTACCCTTGCATTCAGGTTTAAAAGATAACTACGCCTGCCATCAGGTATGGAGGACATATAACAATACAAACATCTGGATAATCTGTAGGTGTTCCAGTCATAGGGGATATAAATGTAAAATACATCAGCTCCATATTATGGGAAATTAAAACAAAAATATGGGAGATTTAGTTTTGTGACCCTAGCAATTCAGAGATAGCCTCACCTATAATAATATTTCAGTGGCTGCATACCCATATAAAGGCTGAAATTTTTAAAGATAAAGGAATTTGCTGTGAAAATCAATGCCTCCTGCAGATAAATTATGCCATAAACAAAATTACAATTTAATATGTAAGGGACTGTGTAGTTACAACTTAATCCCTGTTTGTGAGAAGGACGGGAAAAAACCTCCTGGTTTTGAGGTTTTAGTTTACAGCATGAAACAGATATGGCTGAATATCAGTAAGTTGAAGGATTGAACAAACATCATTCGTCTGGTTTAAGATGCATGTGGTCAACACATTCCTTGTGGTATGAAAGTCTGCAGGCTTTCAAGACCAGTTTTCTTCATTTTTCCCCCCTTTTCCTACATGAAGGGGTTGGGCTCAATGGGGAGTCTGTGAGCTGCCAGGAGTTTCTGTATGGGATATCTAGGGAAGAGTGGAAACTGGTGGGAAACAGCCCGAGGGTAACTGAGCCCTCAATGGATGAGAAACATAGACTGGAATCTCTGAGACAGACAGGCTGGGAAATATAATCTGCTGGTGGGGGTACTTCTCTCCCAGCACTCCCCTAGGTCAAAAAAAAAAAAAAAGTGGCATAGGGGGATAAAGGAAAGAAAAGAAAGGAAGAAAGAAAGAAGTATTGTTACAGTGTCTGCTTTCCCCTTCTCAGTGGTGTGGAAATCTGGCCATACCTTTTCAATGAAACACAATTTGTCTCAACTTGGGAACTTAAACTCATTTAAAATGTCCAGGTGCCCTTTCTCTATCTTTTCAACAATCTTGGAATTCAATTCCTTGTTAACCATGATTGTTCTACTCTCTCCGGTTAAAAAACTTTCCTCCTCAGTAGACAAATGGGAGGAAAGACAGTTATTTTATAAGGCAAAAATATAAACAAGATTATCTTAAGACAGAATACAAAAAGATTTCCCTTGTAATGAAAAAATTTTTTACTGGTTTTACGAGTTTAAAATAACAAAACATAAATACTGGAAAGGAAGATTTTACAAATCAATTTAATGTAATGGAGAAGGAAAAAAAAACAAAGGGACTTAACTTTGTTTTCCTAACAGATCTCTGAAGCATGTAATTATATATTTTAGTGCCTCATAAACAAAAGTAAAGGGTGGCCTGGAATAAAAACACCTGTTTTTCTTATAAAGATTGACTCTGTCAGGATAGGCAGAGATATGCAACAGTAAAAATCAACCCCAAAATCTCAGCAGAGTGAAACAAATGCTTATTTCTCACTGACATCTACATTTCCAGCCAAGAACCAAGTTAACTGAAATTCCATCTTGTCACCAGCTTCTGTGATCAATACAACCAGAAAAGCAATAAAGTGAATAAAATACTGACCCGTAAAAGCTGCAAGTCAGAGGTAACAAAACAAAAATGGTTATGCCTAATTCAAGGCAGCAAAGAACTATGATGCCACCACATGTCCCCTAAGGAGGAAAAATGAAAAAAACTGTCATCAATCTAATCCTTATAAGGTGATATCTACTTGCTCACGTATTAAAGACAGAGAAAGATTTTTATTTAAATAACTTAAAATACCTTTTTTCCGTTGTGGATTCTATTTAATATAAACATGTACAAACACACATGAAAAAACTTCAAACACTGTTTTATTAAAGTCCCATTATTTGTTTCCCCATTACCCATTTCTCTAGATGATACCTTTCATGTGCTTAGATTTGCTTTTGAACTGAAGCAAATGAACTGCCTACCACTAGCACCTAGCACCAAGAAGATAAAAGATAAAATTTCATACAAAGATAGGAGAGGGCAGACTCCCCGGATTAAGGGCTTCATTCTCCACTAAAGCTTTTAACCAATGGAAAAATGCATTTAACTTTCATGAGTGCATTTCCTACTACGAAGCTGAGCTCAGAAAACAGTGAATTCCAAAAAAAATAAGTAGTGTCGCCTGTAATCCCAGCACTTTGGGAGGCTGAGGCAGGCGGACAACGAGATCAGGAGATCGAGACCATCCTGGCTAACACAGTGAAACCCCGTCTCTACTAAAAATACAAAAAATTAGCCAGGCGAGGTGGCAGGTACCTGTTGCTTGAGCTACTCAGGAGGCTGAGGCAGGAGAATGACGTGAACCCAGTAGGCGGAGCTTGCAGTGAGCCAAGATCCTGCCACTGCACTCCAGTCTGGGTGACACAGCCAGACTCTGTCTCAAAAAAAAAAAACAAAAAAAGTGTCATTAGAAGATTGAAAGGAAATGCAATATCTAGATTTATGCATTCATTTTTTTTTTCCTGCTGACAGACCATCTATTCCTATTTAGTTACTGGAACGTGGTGTGTAAACAGAGCATTAGCAAAAAAATGACAAAGAAATAAAAATTGGAGAAAGGATGAGAATAGGAGATAATATTTTTGTTTACATTCAACAGCATGTTTCTTTTTCGCATTCTCTCATTAAAGATCCTGGTGGATCCAGACTAAATGTGTTTTCTCTTTAAATAGTAGCAACTCTGCCCAGGACTGAGCATGAAAAACATCAATTCTCAGAACCATCCACTTTCCAAGCTGAAAAAGTAGAGATAAATTTCCACAAAGCTAAGTAAAATGTGTTATAAAGAGGTAGAAGGAGAGAAAAAAAATTTTCTGAAACACTACATTTGATTCACTTGGGCTCTAGGGAAGGAGAAATGTTGTCAAATGAATAAACAGAAAATGGCAGCAATAAGACTGATGTCCACAAATTTCTACATGAAATAAGGAATCATTATCTGATGCTGACCTAATCTCAATATTCAGAAAATGAGTGAGGATTCATTCAATGGAGAAGAAACATTTGTTCTCTTTGGTAAGTTAATATCATCTAAGGATTATGATCAATAAAGGTTCTTCTTGGCATTTTAGATAGTGAATAAAAATATTTACTTGCATCCAGAAAGTACCTGGAAGCTCCACGAAGAAATGTATATTTTAGTGTGTTAAGATCTAAATAGTACTTGGATTCTAAATTGTGTCAAACTATATTATAAATATTATATATAGACTATTCCTATATAACCATAAAGAAACTTGTCTGTGGGGGAAAATAGAACAGAAATCATCCATGGTAACTTCTAGCCTCTAAATCAGGAAAGTAGGCTTCAGTAGAAACAGACCAAAGAGATATTTAGGTTCTTTATAATGGCTGCCTGAGCTTTAACATATATTTAGCATAAAATAAATATCATAAAAATAATACCAGAAGTAATGAACGAAGAGTACCTACATTAGAACACTTAAGGTCTAAAGTCAGGCAGACCTAGATTAGAATCATTCCTCCACAACTTACAAGCTAAGCAAGTTAATTCACCATCTATACAGCAAAGGCAATGTCATTTATAATTTGTTTTTCCAGCATACTTTCCATCTGCCTTTTATTGGTGCTTTTGTGTAATTTTTGTCTTCTCTATGTGATCCTTATATAGCAATCAATCATGATACCTGATCTTGGCCATTGCTGTTGGTGCAGGAATGGGCATATCAGCCAAGCAAGGATAAAGTAAAATCTTCTTTGGGATTGGCATTTAAAAAATAAGAGAGAGATATGGGCTTGGGAGAGGAAAAGAGACTGAGATTGTCTTTAGGCTGTCCTGGCTAAGGTTTGACAACATACGTAGGTGGTGCCAGTGGCCATCTTATCTTGTCCAATACCTGAATAGAATCCTGCCTACACCATGAAGCCAAGAAAAAAACAAAGCTAAAAAAAAAAAACCATAGAAAGGCCGGGCGCGGTGGCTCAAGCCTGTAATCCCAGCACTTTGGGAGGCTGAGGCGGGTGGATCACGAGGTCAGGAGATCGAGACTATCCTGGCTAACATGGTGAAACCCCGTCTCTACTAAAAATACAAAAAACTAGCCGGGCGTGGTGGCGGGCGCCTGTAGTCTCAGCTACTTGGGAGGCTGAGGCGGGAGAATGGCGTGAACCCGGGAGGCGGAGCTTGCAGTGAGCCGAGATCACGCCACTGCACTCCAGCCTGGGAGACACAGCGAGACTCCGTCTCAAAAAAAAAAAAAAAAAAAAAAAAACCATAGAAAGCAAATACCTTGATGACATTCTCTAAGTCCCTACATCACCTAGAACTGAAGTTCATTCCTGGATTTCTCCATTATGTGAGCCTTTTTCCTTAAACTAATTTGAGTTAAATTTGTTCCACTTGTAACTGGGAGAAACTCAACTAACACACACTCTAAATCTCAATTTCTTCATTTGAAAAATGTGAATAATATTATAAAATGTCTCCTAGGTTTACTCATAGGATTAAGCAATATAATGCATATAACAAGTTTAGTTCAGCATCAAGCACATAAGTACCCAATCATTACTAGTTCTTATTGCTATTATTAATTCGTGATAAAGGTATTACTGTCCTTTAGTAAAAATTTTATTATGATTGATATACTAAGGTTATTCCATTATATAGAACTCCTATACTCTTAAAAGGAGGCTACAACACTAAGTTTAAGAATAGTTTACTAGCACGTATAAAGGAGATTTACTTTGCAAACATTTCCAATCTATGTTGTAATCAATGTACTAGAAAACAGTTATCTTGATTTGAAAGTCAGAGCAAGCCTTTTTTCTCTCACTATATCCTGTTCTTTTCTCTTACTGTACCCTAACTTTCTTCAATCACCCCTTCAGAGTAATACCATCTATTTCCTACAGTACTTAGACTCAAAGCGGGTACCATGAACCAGTTTCACTTTTAAATAAGTGATTGTAAATGCAAAAAGAATCATTCTCAGTGGAGGCAACTCTAGAGTCAGTGAAACTAATTACAAAGTTGTTGCAGGAACTTCGCAAGATGGAAGCTACCAGATACTAACATTAACTGGCATCTTTAACGTCAGACACAAAACTACACTACACACATTATCTTATTTAAATACTCCAACTACTCTTTAAGGTAGATATTATTATTACTTTATTACACAATGAAAATAAAATTGAGAGATGTTATGTAACTTTCTCAAGGTCAAACACATAGTAAGTGGCAGAATCTGGACTCAAACTCAAATCTGCCTGACTCTTAGGACCATCATTAATCTACACTGTCTCCATAACCCATATACAGCCTGAATTAAGGTAAATGACAGTGGAAATGGATATATAAGTGTAGTATTTAAAAACAAGGATCTGAATTCAGAGTAGAAGCAAAAAGATGAAGGTGGCAGAAGTCTGTGATTTACTGGGTATAAAAAAAACATAATAAGGTATAACACTGACAAGAGGGTTTGTGGCTTGAACAAATGTAGAAATGGTGGTGGCTTTACTGGGAAATGAAAGAAAGGAGGAGAAAACTTGATGGGAGTGGGAAAGGGATAAGGCATTCAGCCTTAATGTTGTGGACTTTATTGTTGCTATGAAAATTCAAATGGAGATATTTCACTACAGGAGTTGAAGGGGCCATATATACTTTCTCATCGCTCTCTAGCAGCTAAGGTACAGACATGGGACCTAGAGTCCGCCAATTTGATTCTCCTCAATGTGTATTTTAATCTTCAACATGGGATGCAAAGACAGCAAATTATGAGACTATTCATGACATATGGGGAACACTGGCAGTGTCTCATGCAATAAGCATGGAGTCATGGTAGTGATTATTATTGATGGTATTAGTGCCCACAGCAATATTCCAACTAGACTATTCTTGAAGCATGACCTTGTCTGTGTGTTTTTACTGCCCAGCCTCTAGTGATCCCTATTTGTCAGGCCTCATTCTCCAGATCCTTTTTGATTATATGATATAGTTTATGACCTCCAAAAAAACAAAACAAAAAAAAACCCTGCTCCTTTTCTACTCAAATTAGGAGGAGTTGTGTTCTGTTGCTTGCAATCCACAATTCTGAATAATAAAACCAATACATTCATCACTGTATCATGTACAGAATTAAGGGAGTCCTTTCCCCATTGTTCTTGCATCATCCCCAACCCATAAGCTAGATAACAATTTGCTAGATATTAAGGGGAATCTTAAAATACTTCAAATAATTCATAGACTGACAGTGATAAAATGCAATCAATAAGTTATATACCACAGCATGATCCACATTTTAAAGCAAATATATATATACACACAGACACTAAGTAGAATAAAGGCAAGTCCACCCATAAACATTAAGACAGAGTAATAAAACTGTACAACTTCAAAAATAAGAGAACCTGTAGCAACTATCAGATACAGAATGTATATTATACCTCTTTAAGAATAACAATTTAACTCACAGTAGAGCAGACATCACATCCATTGATGCATGAACATGACAAATGAACATTTCCAAAGTACTAAGGATAAAAAATTATCAGCCAACTTTTATAACTAGCTAAATTATCATTCAAAGGTGGGGGTAACATGAGATCTTTTTGTTTTTTCCTACTAAGTTTCTCCTTTTATTTTTTTAATTGTAATCCACAAATTCAGGGGATAATGCTTCAAAAGGGTGGCTTTTAATTACTTTTGTACCCAATCTTGACTGTATTCAGATTCAATATTTTGAGGATAGGAAGGATTTCAGGAGAGAGGAAGAATGACAGGGTGAGGACATGTGACCATCTACTCATCCTTTTATTTTCTAATTTTTATAACTTCATGTGAGTCTGTATCTCAAAGTTAAAAACTTTAATAAAAAATATTTTTAAAGGTGAATGCAAAACAAAAACATTTCACCACACAAAAACTAAGAATGTTTGCTACCCAAAGACTTTCACATAAAAATTATAAAGCTGTTAAAAGCAATTTAGAAAGAGGGAGTGTGATATAAGAAAGTTGAACATAGAAGTTGATTAAATAAGCTGATAAATGTAATCAATTAACTAGTGTTAAAAATAACTAATTTGATGTGTTTTAAAAGAATAGAACATAAATCTAAGTCTGTAGAAATTGCTACAAGATGGGAGGGGTGGTGTGGTGTATAATAAATAAAACATGCTAAATTCTGTATATTATTAGAAAATGCAATGATTT